GCCTGTAGATGAGTGTAAACTACAGACCGCTGGCCTGTAGATGAGTGTAAACTGCAGAGTCCTGACCTGATGATGTAGCTCGTCTGTGCTGGCTCATTCTTTTGAACGGTGGCTGCTTTGTTTCCCCGATGTATAACTGATCACAGTCCTCCTGACACTTAACAGCATATACTATATTACTCTGTTTTTGCCGGGGAACTGGATCTTTGGGGTGAACTAATCTTTGTCGTAACATGTTTTGGGGTTTGAAAGCCACTGGGACGTCATGTTTTGAGAATAAACGTCTCAGTTTCTCAGAAACTCCCGCCACATACGGAATGAGGGTTCATTCCATTCATTCACATAACACGACACGGGTCAGGTGATGGGGCACATGACCCTCTATGAACAATAGAGCTAATCAAACCTATTGTTAGGCGATGCCCCTCTTTTGCATGTGACTAACCTGTTTGTCCATGTGGAGGCAGGGCTTATAAGGCTGAGTTCACCTGAAACTCATCAGACTGAAGAAGTCTCTTGAAGGAGAGACGAAAAATGTTTCACTAAAGAAGAACCCATCCAGAGGACCTACTTATTTTTTCTTTTTGTTTTTTTCTACCTGGATTACTGAGATGCATCAGGACATGAAGTGTGTTTTTCATTTTTCATTTCATCATTTGATCTGATCAATTTACATCTAAAATATTAACCAATTAAAACTTTGCTTTGAAGGTTTTTCACAGTTTACCTTGATAAAGAAAGGGATGAAGAGTCGCCTGCTGAGTTTTCAGGTTCCTCTCCAGCATCTGTAAGCACACACACAATCTGTATTACACACGCATATACATATAATAGCATTTCTACAATAAAGTAGAGGTGTGAATTTATGATAAGAATTTTACAGTTTCCAGGTTTCAGTCGCTTCTCAAAAGCCGTGACATCAAGGCTCTGGCGTGGTCTCTTTCTGCTCAGTCCCTTTGCAATGCTTGCAACATTGCTAATAGTTAGATCAGGCAGATCCAACCCTGACAGCTCAATACTGAAAGTCAAGAAAACACTGGATTAACTCACAAAGAACAAGTCTAGCTTTTATCTACAAAAAGCTAACATTAAAAAAGTTGTTAAAAGTAAAACTAAACGTTTGTGACTTAATGCATGTGCATACAGAGCAGGTAAATGGTAATGAACCCAAAAACGTTTTGGGGTCCAGATTATTGGCTGTATGTGAATTCACTCAATAAGAGCTGACAACTTGGAGTAACTCAAAACAAATTACAAATGACAAATAATCTGAACAGACTCTAAATGTCATCATCCTGTTACATATATAGCTCACCTAGAATTTGTTTTTATGGCAGTTTCGTCAGCTGATTGCTGATCAGGCTCTTCAGAGTGCTCCCTCTCATGAACGGCAGGAGACCTCACAGGCTCTGAAACGTGCGATGATGTGATTAAGTCAACAAGTAAAGGCTTTAATATTAAACAATAAGTTAGGTAAATGCACATACCGGTTTGTAGAATATTTCTCAGTAAGTGTCTTGGGGTGTCTTCATTGCTGACAAGCATTGAGACAGAAGGCCGCTTTTCAAGCACAACTGAKGGGGTCCTTAGTTTAGTTGTGGCAGACAGTGATTTTCTGATTATGCTCTACAAACAGATACATATATATGTCACGCTTAGGCAGATTTTAAAAATACAGTTTCAGCTGATASACTTTTTTTTGTCTCCTCCTCACTTCATGAATCTTGTGTTTCAGGCTGCGCCTCAGCACGTCCTGGGGGGTTTGGGCTTCAGATTTTTTCCTGCTCAGTCTGCTGCTGCGCCGGAGACTGCTGCTACTCGGTGCCTGTGAGTCACTAAATTCAAGACAGCTTGTTATAATTTAACAATRCCACACGTAAACAGCACAAAACTGGTATCATTTGGGCGCTTTGACGCACTTTGTGTAAGCTGTGCTAAGTAACGTTCTATGTCTAAATAAGTCTAATATGTTGTGTTGTCTATTAAATCCGAAATAAAAGCACTACCTGCGAGTGACAGGGGTCCTAGCAGGCTCGGTACTGAGAATATGTTTCAGCAGAACCCGAGCAGATAAATCCTCCGWGGGGTCCATCATTCAAACTCCAAGGTAGATGGGGGAAAAAATTATCATTTTACGATATTCGGTTGAAGGATAAACAAGTTTTAACCAACAAAACTAWGTCAAGCAGTACTGTTTTCCTGGGGTCTAAATTAGACAAACACGATTCGTTTTCTTCTGTTCCTTACTGTTGTCCAAACGGGAGGCTGGCTACTTGTTTTTATACCGTCCCGCGTTAATTTTGAGTGAAATCTCGCGAGAAGACAGCGGCCTTGATTCTTCTTCTATGTTTTCTTTTTAGCGATTACCAAATAGGTCGCCATCTAGTGGATCAGAGCGTGAATAGGAGAAATGCAGGGTAAAATAAACTATTTTTCATTTGAGGTTTATGCTTGGTAATAACCTAATTTGAACTCCTATTTTAAATATGGTATCTTCAAATATATTTTTGATGACACAAATTATTTTTGTGCATTTTCTGTTCTAAAAACGGATATTGTCATGTACAGATACAATGCATCTTGGGTTTAGTTAATTTAGTCATTACTAATATTGCTATTTTTTTTTCACTTATGGTACACGTATGTTAATCATAACCTGAAAAAAACCTGTCTGCACATACGTATACTTCTGTATTAATTTGTCACCCACTACCAACAATTATACACCATCATGTTTCTGCTACTGTGTTTGTCTGTAGTTTTAGCAAAATATTTCATGAAACCACTGAACAGATTTTATTAAACTTTCAAAAAATATTCACTGGGTGCCATTGACCTTTTGGAGTCAAATCAGTTCTAGGTGGCAACCACATTCAATCGGCCTTTAAAAAACCAAGAATTTGTTATAGCTCAGTCATTTTTACAAATATTAGGCTAAACAGTTTTGTAGTAGTAGCTGAGTAGTATCCCCAACACATAGGCCTACTCTGAGTGCTACATATTGCACAATATTTTTGCTTAAAATTGACATTAAAGGTTGGCGTTAGCCCTGTCTGTTAGCAAAACATCTCTTTTCCCAGCATATGGTTTTAGTCCTAAATCTCTGAACAGTGGTGAGCAATRTGTCTTATAAAGCCCAGAGCCAGTCAGTGTTGGGACAACTTTCCTGATGCTCTGCACAGTTAATGTTGCTAAACAAAACCAGAGTTTATAAATCCTTGTGATGCTTGTCAGGTAGTTTTTCCTAATCATGTTTTGTTTTTATTCCACCCAGGCTGCACAACAGTTTCTAAGCTGGCTCCACCCAAGTTATTCATTTACCTCCTTTGGAGTGTATTTTCAGATCACATAGGTCACTAACATCTTCTGTCATTTTCAAATCATTTTCACCTGTTTGCAAAGGATAAAAAATGTGATTAAATGCTTTTAGAAACAGCAGCTTCATTTGGACTGACAGTGAGTTCATGAAATCCTGCTGAAATGCAAATAAAAAGGTAATATAACTTTGACAATACCCAGATTTATTTATCTCTCAGTATCTCTAAATAAAACACAAGAGACATGTGATTGTTTAAATAATTAATTTACAACAAATGCAAACAAAACAATACATCTGCAAATAGGAAACAGGTGGTAGCCTGTTTTATATTTTTTATATACAGTATGTTTTATATATCTGCACATTAAAGAACTCCCTTCCCTTCTGAAAATTAACCCGTGAATAAAAATAATTCAACTAGATTTTCATTTCACGGGTGTTTGTTTTCGACAAAAAATAAAAGTAGACAACTTCTCGCTTTCGCGGAATGAGGCAACCCGCTGACTTAGAAGTCAGGTCGATCCTTCTTCAGTTTGGAGTAATCCATGTTTACTGCAAACATCTGGAAACGCAAACACAGAGAGGGGAAATTCACACAATCAGGGGGATGAAGGCAATGCGAGGCTTAAGAAAAACAATGTTAGAGCTCATACTTTGTACTGCTGATTGGGTTCCATTTTATTCCAGGGCTCAGGGTTGTTTCTGCGATCCCATCTGAAAAAATAAAAATAAACCTTTTAGTGAAACAACACATCAAATATAGCCAGACTATCAAATGTAAATGCTAACAAAAMTCCAGCTGAGGGAAAAAGCTGTGTCAGGTGATACTTACGAGACATCAGGGTTTTTCAGAGCCAGTCTGGCCAGGTACAGCGTGCTCATTGCTGACCCCGCACCAATGAAGATGAAAAGAGGGATCAGCTGGACACAAACACATGCAGAGGTTTATTTTAGCCAAATACTCACAGTAAAAACCTCCAGTCTTAAAGATGATTATGGTAAGGGCAAACCAGTAAAGGAACAGCCTGTGGCTTGACTGAGGTTCAAGCACAGACTAAATTTCACCCCACTGGACTCAGATTTTTTTTCCCCTCACATTTTTAATAAAAATAACAGATATTTGCTTTTTAAATCAGTGCAACCAGTAGAAAAGTWGCAGATGACTCGACCAGCAGGGCACAAAAACATACAGCGGGTAAAATAAGTATTGAACACATCACCATTTTTCTCAGTAAATATATTACTAGAGGTGCTAATGACATGAAATTTTCACCAGATGTCG